TCAGCCGCCGCCAAGCCCGATGGGCTGAGTTTTTGGAGCAGTTCGTACCCTCACTTCAGATTATCTATCGCCCCGGAAAACTCAACCCAGCCGACATCTTATCCCGACCACCACCACCAGCCCCACCACCCACCGACCAGCCCCAACCAACCACCAACCAGCCCCACCACTCCCCAACCAGCCCGACCTTATCACCTCCACCTCACACTCCGAACCCACCCTTGCAGCTCCATGGAATCAGCAGCATCACTTGGGATGATACCTTCATCACGAAATTTCAGCGCGCCTACAAACGTGACCTGTTCTTTGTCAAGCAAGCACCCGAGGACCCGACCTACTCATTTGAAGACCCATTTTGGTACAACACCGTCACCAAGACCATTTGTGTTCCTGCTGATCGCTCCTTACGGCAGCTGCTACTCTCCGAATACCACGACACCGTTCCCGGCAGCCACTTAGGCGTTGAGAAGACCTACGCACGCCTCTCCAACAACTACCATTGGCCACGCATGCATGCTGATGTGCGTGACTTCATACGCACCTGCCGCACCTGCCAACAACTCAAAGCACGCACCACCAACCGCTACGGACTCCTTCAGCCCATCCCTCCAACTACCAAAGTGTGGGATGAAGTCACCATGGACTTCATCATGGATCTGCCCCGCACACCCCGCAGCTACAACGCTATCCTAGTCGTCGTCGACCGACTCTCCAAAATGAGCCACTTCATCCCTACCCACACAACCGTCACCGCACCCGAAACAGCCCGCCTTTTCTTCGATCACATAGTCCGCCTACACGGTCTCCCATCCGCCATAATTTCAGACTGCGACCCTCGCTTCTTGAGCAACTTTTGGCAAAGCCTCTTTAAGCTTCATGGCACAAGGCTAAAGTTTTCTACAGCGTATCACCCCGAAACGGACGGACAAACCGAACGAATGAACTGCACGCTTGAAGATGCCCTTCGTGCACAAGTTACCGCTCGCCAAACTGATTGGGATCTCCACCTCACCGCCATTGAACTCGCATACAACAGCACACCCCACCTTTCCACCGGTCAGTCACCCTTCTACCTCGCAACCGGACAGCACCCACGCCTCCCCACAACCCCACCCTCCCACCTCTCACACACACCAGCAGCCTTTGAGTTCCTCACTTCACTCGAATCAGCCATTGATGCCGCTCGCACCTCCATCCTTAAAGTACAAGCAAAGCAGACCCGCTATGCCAACTCTCACCGCAAAGACATCCGCTTCAACGTTGGTGATCAAGTGCTTTTCTCCACTGACCACCTACCTCTCCTACGCAAAGGCACAACCAGAAAACTCGCCCCTCGCTTCATCGGCCCGTTCACCATCACCCGAGCCCTCTCACCAGTCACCTACCGTCTCCAACTACCCAGCTATATGAAGATTCACCCCGTCTTCCATGTCCAGCGCCTCCGCCCTTTCCGTGCACCTTCACACGACCGTCCAGCCACACGCCAACTGCCACCAATGTTCGAAGGCAGCCCCGACCTGTTTGAGGTTGCATCTATCACTGCTCACCGTGACACACCTCATGGTCGTGAGTTCCTCGTTCGCTGGAAAGATCAGCCGACTAGTGAAGACTCGTGGGAACCTGAGAGCCAAATTGACCGTGCCACAACTGCTGTGAATGGGTACTTGACCAGCCACGGTTTGGCGCCGTGGACGGCGCCACTTGGAGGGGGAAGTAATGTAACAGTGTGGCAGCCGAATGCTGCCAAGTACAGTGCAGGTGGGCGGAAGTCAACCGCCACCTCACCCAAACCTCCGATTGGTCAAGCGCCTCAACCTGCAGCTGGGCGACCAGGTCCTGACGCGCAGCCCAACTCAAACCCTCGCGCGAAAATTACGAAACGCAGAACACCCAAGTTCCGACGCCTCGCCGACTTCGTCAACCACGCCGACGAAGTTACAGCCCCGTAATCAAACTCGCCGACCAATCCCGCATCGCAATCAATCTCTGAATTTCACGGCAAGGTTCATTTCAAGTGGTAGAGTTACCAATAAGAAATTCAGAGTGTCGCGACTTGGTAGTGCGACTCGATTTGTGAATGCACCATGTAAAATTGTGTGTGAAATTTGTTGAAGTCATAGTGCAATTTCCAGAGAACTCCAGAGAGCACTCTAAACTCGTTTTCCTAAACTATTAAGGCTGCTACTTCCCTGCCAGCAACGTTTCAACAACAGTGTGACAAAACGTGGCATTGCTCCATGTGAGCTGCGCGAGGAATGTGTCCACTTCACATCGTCTGCTTTCTAACGATGACGGCCCACTCGCACCGCATGCAAAGCGGTGTATTCGAGAATTCTCCGAGAAACAGTGGCACCGCCGTATGCCGTGTCATGTCGACGGTGTCACGTCACTCTTGCCCACGGCGACTGAGAGTCGAAGAGCCCAACAGATGCGATGAATTGGTTACCCATCCGGGGGGAAAGCACGAAACGCATGGGCGTGTGAGGCGAAAGCATGACAGGGCGTGCGAGGCGAACGGATGACATGCGTGCGGCGCGATTGACTTATGGCACCTCCGATCAAAACATGCCTCTCTCCTGTCCTCCTTGAATGAGCTCATTCATCCTCCTCCTCTGCCTTCCTCTCCTTGTTCCTTCACTTCGGAATATAGTCAAACATCTAGTCATTTTTCTCTTCTGCCACTTTCCTCCTGTTAGCATACTTCCTCTCCGTTTCTCACCACCTTTCTCCCCCCTGGCTGCGGAGCTCTGTCGATTCCTCTTTTGAGAAGCGGCGCCTCCTTCCCCGCGCGCCCCTTCACCCTCGCCGGCAGTGGAGCTCAGTCAAGCGCCTGGCCACGAAAAAGTGTCTGTCGGTCTGCTGCTGCGGAACAGCTGGCTCTCTGCCTCACCTGCCACCTTTACACACACCAGGTACGCACGAGGCCATTTGCCGCGCCTCTGCTGTCTGTCGTACCCTCTTTGTTCCCTGCTCCACTTTTTCATGAGCCCTGCCCCTCCCCGTCCACCCCAGCCTCATTGTAACTGCTCCTTACGTCTGCCTTATATTCGGCTTCAGTTCAGCTTGCCTCTTACCGTTTTGTAGTACTCTTCCCATGCGTTCTGCTGCTGCTACTTCTGTTACCACCTGTGCACCTGCCTCATCTTTCTTAGATGGCCATTTGTCTCGTTAAATCGTCGTGATGATTATTATAATGCAAAACTTCCTACCCACAAGCTTATTGCCATGGATGGATCTTCTTTTCTGACGTAAATTCCACTGTCTCCGCTCTTTCCTCTCCCATTCCTCCTCCCTCTTATCTCAGCCCCATGCCTTGTGCCTTATTCCTTCGATCCACACAGGTTATCAGCCACACTCACGGTAGCACGCCCCCTCGGTTGCCACTTCCCCGCTGCCACCATACCCTGCGTTACGTTTCAGTCACTCCGCCAGATAGCTCTTCGCTCTGCTATCATCTTGTGAGGTGAGCAGAGCATCCCTTGGCGTTCCTTCATAATATCCAGCTATTTCCTCGTCATCCTTCTCTACGGCACAGACCTCTATCCACTTCTCCACTCGTTGTCACATATGCCCGCATCCGGTCATCCCTACCTGTACGCATCCTATTCGTTCCTCCTGTTACTATATTGGATTTCCAGTTGGCGTGCTGCAATCCGCGTCATTCTTCCCTTCATCTTGTGTCATGAGGTTGGCATCTCTGCCCACCCTCATGGATTCTTCTCTTTCATTCTCTTGCCCTTCCTTATGTCGTGTTACTCCTTTTGCGTCCGTTCGCAGCTGCTGCTTCCATACCCTGCGTGCATTCTGATTTGCCAGACCCCCGCAATCCATACCATTCATTTCTTTGATCGCCTTCACCTCATGAGGTCGGAATCTCAACCCTCATGGCTTTTTCTCTCTGCACTTTTCTGCCTGTCAGCATATCTCTCCTTTCCATCTGCATACCCCCCTTGCTGCTGCTTCGATTCCATCACCCAGAATGCATCTCCTGCATCCCGTTCCATTACCCTGCTCTTCTCTCTCGCCCACTAGCCCTTCCTGCCCTTCGCCTGTCCACCCTTCGTCCGCTCGTGCTCGCTTGATCGTGTATGTCGCTCGCTCCTTAGTGCTCGCTTGCTCGTTCGTACTCGTTGAGGCCGCTCTTCCGCAGCCTGGCTCACTACTGCTTCCCCGTCTACTTCTGTCCAGAAGTAGACGGGGTAGGAGGGACGGGGAGTGGGACTTATTTCAGTGCCCTTTTCTTGCACCTCCCGACCCCCCCCCCCCCCCCCCCCATTCCCCTTAACACGACCAGTTCACACCTGACTGTCACTTGCTTGTTTCGCCCATTGGAATGTCTCACTCCTGCTATTTCCATTTGACTCCTTATCTGGTCTCATTTCTCCTCTCGTACCGTCGGTGCATGGCTGTTTTCCTTCCCCCACTTCCGCAGCTTGCCCCCCCTTCCCCTGCTTTTGCTGCTTATCTCTTCCTTGCCCTGCTGCTCCCGCTCCCCCTCCCTTTCCTGCCTCCTCCCCCCCTACCGCCGCTTCGTCTCCCGTCCTCTGCTGCTGCTTATCCCCTTCTTCCCCTGCTGCTCCTTCTCCTCTATGGTTTGGCTGCTCACCTCTGTTCCTACTGCATCTTAGGGCGCGTGTGATCTTAGGGTTTTGGTCAAAGTTCGAACTTCAACCACTTTGCACCGTGGCGAAAATCTCTCAATTGTATTTCACCATGTATAACCTTTCTAAAGGTCGAGCTTTCGGAAGTTCAAAGAAATATCACACGCGCCCTTATTGTGCAATCGCCCATCTCCCTTCTCCAACTAACCCTTCGCTACACTGTCAACCGGGTGGCTTCTCTTTCCCCTCCATCGCTTCAACTTATTCCTCTGCCCTTGTCTCCCAACCCTCCACCCTCGCCCTTGAATTCACGTCTAACTAACACTCTCATTGCTACCGTTCTTCTGCCCGTCCTGGGATGTAGAGAGTGGGAGAGGTTGCTTCATCCACTTGTGGAGTATGGCCGGATCACAGGAGTGGAAAGAGGCGATGGAGATGATGAGAGCACTTCACCTGCAGGTGGAAGGGATGAGGAGGGAATTGGCAGCAGCCAAGAAGGACTCAGAGGAGGCTGAGAGGAGACGAGTGGCAGAGATGAGGGAGATGAGAGGGCAGGTGGAGGAGAGGGAGAGGGAGGTGACTGCAGAACTGGAAGCAGTGAAGGGGGAGTTGGCAGGAGTGAAGGGGGAGTTGGCAAGGGAGAGGGAGGAGAGGAGGAGGGAGGTGCAGGAGGTAGAGAGGAGAAGAGCAGCAGACTTGACGGAGATGAGAGGGCAGCTGGAGGAGAGGGAGAGGGAGAAGAAGGCAGGGAAAGGGTGGCTGGTTGCGGTGCAAAAGGATGCTGGCATGAAGATGGATGTTGAAGGCGTTCAAAAGAGAGTATGGGAGGTGAGTGCTGAGTGCAAATGTTTCACGGGGTATGGATGGTTCATTGTTTGCTAATGTCTTGATTACCAATCATTTTCTTTTCATTCATTCCCTGTTCATCCATCACCTCCAGCAAATCAAGGCAGCATCAGAAGTAACTGATTTGCTTCTGACGGGTCTCAGCTGCATCTCAGACGCCATGCTCGGGCATGTGTCCACAATGACTCATCTGAGGTGCATTAACATGACCTCGAGCTCAGGCTTCAGTGCAGAGGGGATGAAGCACCTCTACAAGCTGCCATGGCTGCAGACGTTAGATCTCAACAGCGCAGACATCTCACACAGTGTCTTGGAAGGCATTGGGTCCTTGAGCAATCTCAAGGAGCTCTATCTCAATCGTACCAAGCTGACCAATGCTGGGCTGGCACAATTGACAGGTCTCCCCTCTCTCAAAGTGCTGTGGCTTTCTAAATGCAAGGGTGTGACAGATGCCAGCATGGTGCATGTGGGGAGCCTGACAGGGCTTGAGACGCTTCTTCTGGAGTACACGGCAGTCACGGGTGATGGGCTGCAGCAGCTGACAGCCCTCACCAAGCTGACAACTCTCCAACTGCCGAATGGAAATGTTGCTTGCAATGCCAATGTGCGAAGGTGGATAGGGAGGTAGGGTGGGTAGGGGGTGATGGAGGGGGGAGGGAGATGACATGAGAGCAAAGTTTACTGACTGCTTGGAGGAGTGGCGTGGAGGCAAGGGGTGTGAAGAATGGAGGAGTGCATGGAAGGAGTGTGCAAGGAGTGGGAGTCGTAGGGGTGAGCACATATTGGGCCCAGCAGGGGTGTGCATGAGGATGCTGGAGGGCGTTATGTTGCCTGGGTGTAGTATGCTGCTGCATCGACCTGTGCCTATCACACTCAGAATCTTGCAGCCCCTCAGGCAAGATAGGGCAGGCCTGCCTAGATATCCTAGTGCAATCTGTAATGCAATAGACATATTTGATACTATCGTCTCTCGAAGGACGCATGTCTGATTTGCCTTTTGCGTTGTCTCATAGAGCGGGCATGAACGAGGTTTTTTTAGAACACTGTGAGCTGACCAGGATGCAGGGCATGATGATGCGACGGAAGGCAGATGTGAAGCAAAAAATGTTAGATTGTGTTTGCAAGGGCAGATGTCATGCATGCTGCTCCATCGCCCCCAATATAGCGCATTGCATTTCTCCCTTCTCAAACCGTCATGCTCGAATCATGCTCCCACGCACCCACCCACACACCCTTCCACGCACCCATGCTCCCACGCACCCATGCTCCCACGCACCCATGCTCTCACGCACCCATGCTCCCACGCACCCATACTCCCACGCACCCATGCTCCCACGCACCCATGCTCCCACGCACCCATGCTCCCACGCACCCATGCTCCCACGCACTCCCACGCACCCATGCTCCCACGCACCCATGCTCCCACGCACCCATGCTCCCACGCACCCATGCTCCCACGCACCCATGCTCCCACGCACCCATGCTCCCACGCACCCATGCTCCCACGCACCCATGCTCCCACGCACCCATGCTCCCACGCACCCATGCTCCCACGCACCCATGCTCCCATGCACCCATGCCCCCATGCCCCCATGCCCCCATGCTCCCATGTATTGTAAACTCCACGTGGAAATGAAGAGAGATGGGAGGCAGGTGTGCTGGTATCGGCACATGCCATGGGTGAAGATGGCTTCTCAATTGATGGCACGCAGGGGGACATGCCAACGCGGAGGTGAGAGAAGCTGAGTCGATAATCTAAATCATTTGTCACCCTCTCTCTCTTCTTACATCCATTGCAGCTGCTCAAACCTCTGTCCTTTTGCCTGGGTCCATACGCGCCCAGCATGGTGCTTCTGGTGTTCATATGTTGGTACACAAAGAATCTGAGCACCAATTTCTCGAGGGCAGTTCCATCACCTATCTTCTCCCCCTTCCTTGCTCTATGCCCTGGCCCTCTTCGCCCTCACCCCGACTCCCACCACTCCCTTCCCTTCAGTTTACCCACCAGCAGCACCTGGCCTGTCCTAACTGGGAGGGGTCCATCTCATCTCTACCACCATGGTCTCATCTCTACCACCATGGTCTCATCTCTACCACCATGGTCTCATCTCTACCACCATGGTCTCATCTCTACCACCATGGTCTCATCTCTACCACCATGGTCTCATCTCTACCACCATGGTCTCATCTCTACCACCATGGTCTCATCTCTACCACCATGGTCTCATCTCTACCACCATGGTCTCATCTCTACCACCATGGTCTCATCTCTACCACCATGGTCTCATCTCTACCACCATGGCCTCATCTCTACCACCATGGTCTCATCTCTACCACCATGGTCTCATCTCTACCACCATGGTCTCATCTCTACCACCATGGTCTCATCTCTACCACCATGGTCTCATCTCTACCACCATGGTCTCATCTCTACCACCATGGTCTCATCTCTACCGCCATGGTCTCATCTCTACCACCATGGTCTCATCTCTACCGCCATGGTCTCATCTCTACCGCCATGGTCTCATCTCTACCGCCATGGTCTCATCTCTACCACCATGGTCTCATCTCTACCACCATGGTCTCATCTCTACCACCATGGTCTCATCTCTACCACCATGGTCTCATCTCTACCACCATGGTCGCATCTCTACCGCCATGGTCTCATCTCTACCACCATGGTCTCATCTCTACCGCCATGGTCTCATCTCTACCGCCATGGTCTCATCTCTACCGCCATGGTCTCATCTCTACCACCATGGTCTCATCTCTACCACCATGGTCTCATCTCTACCACCATGGTCTCATCTCTACCACCATGGTCTCATCTCTACCACCATGGTCTCATCTCTACCACCATGGTCTCATCTCTACCACCATGGTCTCATCTCTACCACCATGGCCTCATCTCTACCACCATGGCCTCATCTCTACCACCATGGGTTCATTCTTACCCCCAATGTCTCATCTCTACCACCATGGTCTCATCTCTACCACCATGGTCTCATCTCTACCACCATGGTCTCATCTCTACCACCATGGTCTCATCTCTACCACCATGGTCTCATCTCTACCACCATGGTCTCATCTCTACCACCATGGTCTCATCTCTACCACCATGGTCTCATCTCTACCACCATGGTCTCATCTCTACCACCATGGTCTCATCTCTACCACCATGGTCTCATCTCTACCACCATGGTCTCATCTCTACCACCATGGTCTCATCTCTACCACCATGGTCTCATCTCTACCACCATGGTCTCATCTCTACCACCATGGTCTCATCTCTACCACCATGGTCTCATCTCTACCACCATGGTCTCATCTCTACCACCATGGTCTCATCTCTACCACCATGGTCTCATCTCTACCACCATGGTCTCATCTCTACCACCATGGTCTCATCTCTACCACCATGGTCTCATCTCTACCACCATGGTCTCATCTCTACCACCATGGTCTCATCTCTACCACCATGGTCTCATCTCTACCACCATGGTCTCATCTCTACCACCATGGTCTCATCTCTACCACCATGGTCTCATCTCTACCACCATGGTCTCATCTCAGCACAGCTGCTGTCCTGTACTAACCGTGAGTGGACCAACTCATCTCTACCACCAGTGAGCATGGCGACAGGAGCAGTGTGGGCGGTATTGTTGGGTAGATATGCTGGCCACTGCTCCTGTCGGCATGCTCTGGTTGAGCCGCTGGCCGCAGCATGAGCAGTGGTGGGGGTGAAGTGGGTCAGCGGGGGAAGGAGGGAGGTGGATAGGAGGGAGGCATGACAGGGAGAACGAGGCATCAGACTCCGTGGATGTGTAGCGATAGTGGGGTTGATGGAAGAATGAATCGACAACTGCTTGAGACAGAGTGCGGTTAACTCATTCGTTGCTTGTTGAAGAATGACGAGGTGCAGGTACATGGCGTGTCTGAAGGTGTGTTCAACCCTGAACTGAAAGGTGCTCTTCAACCGATCACTATGAGTGTTCTTCATGTCTTGCATTCTCTCCCTTCCTCCCCTCACCACGCACACTTCTTATGCACCTGTTTTTGTAAGGCGAATCTATGTTTTTTCTGCACTGCGGTGCCACATGTCATGTGTCTCCACCACCATCATCATGCCTATTGAATTGATTCGCCCTTCTGCATTATGATTTCCCTTTTTAAGCATCTATTCCTTTGCCTGTTTCTCTGAAAAATCCTCCCTTTCACCCCAACCCCCTTCCGTATCCCTTCTCCCTTAATTGTCTCACACTCCCCTTCCTCCCCCCTCCCTCTTTCATCGGGCCCCTCTCCTCCCATCAACACCCCTTCCCCCCACAACCCTCTTCTGCTTTCTAAAGCCAGCAGCTCACTTGCTGCGGCTGTGCCACTTCTCCCAGTCTATACAAGAGCATGCACGGTCCATCAAACCTTGTCTAGTTGAAGCAGTAGTCGGTTTGCCACCTTGGTGGGTGGAGGAGAGAGTGAAGGTGAAGCGGCGCAAGGAGCTGACCACCCTCGTGGATGGTGTATAGGTCATCGCATCAGAGGTACTGTTGCAAAAGGTACCACCTCATGACCCTCAAATGATTCCCTCCCCGCTCCCGTCCACCGTCTTTCGTGTCCCTCCCATTCAGCATTCATTCAGTATGCAACACCTGCACCTGCTGTTCACCTTTCCCCTCCTTGCTCTGAAGTACTCCCCTACCTTGTGCACTACCCCCCCAAACTCCCCTCCTCTTCTCTTCCAGCACCAACCTTTCATTAACCAGTCGTGAGGTGCCCATCTCCCTGCAGCACACAGCCTGGCAGCATGACAGAGCCATCTAGCATTACAGGACAAGTGGGTGGAATTTATGGGAGGCGATTTTTCGTGGCGCTTCAAAAATCTCCTCACCAGATGCTGCAGAGTGAATGATTTTCCTGTGCATGCGATCACCAGCTATCTTCCACTCCCTCTTCCTCGTTCACCATGCGCTAGTGGTGGAAAGCCAACTCATCGCGAGTACACACAGCTACGCATAATGGCAGAGTCACACGGAATGCAGCAGTAGTGGTGGCGGTGAAGCTGGTCTGCCACGAGTTGGGTTAGGTGCAGGCGGGCAGTAGGGAGACCAACTCACCGCTGGGACACATGGCTGGGTAGCATGGCAGAGTCATGGGGTGCAGCAACAGCGGCAGTGGTGGCGGTGAAGTTGGTCACTGGCGATTGGGGTGGAGGCAGGCAGGAGGGAGGCGTGGGAGGGAGTAGCAA